TAAGTATGTTGCATCATTTTAATTATCCTGCATTAAAATATTACATATATATTGTCATTTCTCATTTCATTTAAATCTGTTGGCTGTTTGTAATTGCAACAGTCTTTTTATATTGATTCAAGTGGAAGTATTATTACTCAGGACAAGTGTTATATTGCTATGCTAATGAAGACTGCTTGTCAAACTGCATAAATATGTGTTTATTGCAGTAATTGAGATTACAAAACACAGCTGATGAAGTTGCAAAGGTGTTTTCAATGAAATCTGTGACAAGGGCAATATAGTATATATATTATGGCATACCGTTTAAGAGATTAATCTTTGAATATATAAAATTAATCTTTGAATATATGGACTGAATCTTTGAATATATGGAATGAAACTTGACCTGTCATCAAGGCACTGCTGCCATCTTGTAGAAGTGAGAATGAGTCAGTCAGGAACCTTGTGGCAGCAATACTGAGCAATGAGGACATTATTAACTCATTGGTAAGTGCTTGTACGGGCCACAATCCTTCCCATAGTACCCGTGCCCAATACCGTTCTCCTGACGAAGAAGTTCACTCCCTTTTTAATGGTGGCAGGCCGACTACAACAGGCCTCAGGCTAAATCCTGACAGAAAAAGCAAAAAGTTTTCCAGTTCAAGAAAGTATTGTAATATTTCAACTGATGCCATTTTGTAAAACCAGCTAATTCAGAAGGCTATCACTTTGATGAAAAGGATACAACTAGGTTTTCAATTTCATTCAGTATTCTCACATTTTTATCAGTATATCCAAGATTCATTTCCTAAACGGCATGCCATAATTTATATATATATATATATATATATATTATTCACAGCTGTTCCCTCTTCATAATGGCTTGCCCTTTTTTGGAGGATGTACTGGATGAGGAAGCCCTAATCCTCAGACGAGCATTTAGTCATGAAAGAGTCTTCTGGGACAGGTCAGACCCATTGGCTGTTGGAGAGGACTATCTCATTGAGAGATACAGATTCTCAGGTGATGGACTAAGATATTTATGTAGGCTGCTGGGTCCAAAAATACAGCACCAGACGGCAGGAAGCCATGCTCTCACTGTACCACAGATGGTCTGTGTTACAGTGAGATGTTTTGCAAGTGGGAGCTTCCTTTATTCTGTTGGGGATGCAGAGAACCTCAATAAAGGAACCATTGGCAGCACATATCCTGGCTTGGTGGGCCGCCCCCTGTGCCAGTTCTATGGGCTTTTTTAACTGCTACAATCATACAGACATTCAACATGTCAGCAGATACCTAATCTATTCACCTCATTTGTTCACTGTTATCTACTTTATAGTCACTGACCAGCCTGCAAAATGTTCTTGTATTTAACTTTAACTTGCTGCCAGGTCCTTTTATGGCCAGACAAGTTTGTTCTTTATGAAGGATAGAAAGATAAAATAGATAAAAATAGATTAAATGACACACATTGTGGATAATTGTTTGCACTTAATCATACTTTACATTTCCTGAGTAACATGCACCTCTACTTGCCACATTTAAAGCAAAGTGTACAACAGTTGATTAGTGGACTTACAGTAACTCCTTTAGTCCTTTAATTGGAGCCTAATGATGACAGTTCCAGTGGAGCACTGTTTATTCATTGTACAGTTTTGGACTACTTAAGCATTGCCGGTCCGCTATTGTCTGCCAGGCTTTCTCTCTTTCTTTAATTATGGCATTGGTATTGGCTTTTTTTCTTATATCTTTCACCTCTTCATAGAACTCCATCAGGAGCTGTTGTTCAGCGGCCGTGAAATATGAAGCGCGACTCTTATCCATGTTCCCATCGGTGATTCTGTGAGCGATCGCGAGGTCTATTTCAGTATGCCGTGAACACGCACTTATCCCGACTATCTACACCTGGCTTAACATAGCCGCACCTTTTAATCCTGGCTCGGCAAACGTGCAACCAATTAAGCCAGGATGCACCGAGCAGGCTAAGTCAAGCCGCGCTTGCTCAATTATCCTGGATTTCTTTATCCTACTTTTGTGCAATACCCCTATGGAATATTTATGGAGTTAGAATCACACACACACACGGTCCGTGTATGTTTTGGTCCGTGTATGTTTTGGGGTCCGTGTATGTTTTGGTCATTGGATTTTCCTTTCAGTAACGGGTATTAAAAACAGAAAACGAGTGGTTATTTGATTTTCGTTTTAAAATACAAAAATTAAAATTGAAATACAAGGCGATTTTCTTTTTCATGGTCAGAAAGGGATGAGCGAAATTTAAAAAATATTCGATTTTCATTTTCTATTTCATATAACAAAAAATAAAATCACTAGAAGACAGAAACAGAAAAAAGGCCTGTTTTATATATTTTGAGACCGGATGTTGTCATTTACAGGACAGTGCTGTGTAGAAGAAACAGTAGACTAGTAGACTGCGGTCAATCCAGCCGTGAGTTCGATCTCCGTGGTCAAATCAGCCGCACTTAAATTTAGAGTGTACAAGTATTCTCAGCATTATGGTAAATGCGGAGAAACAGCGTATTTACTTCTATAATTCGAACCTACATTTAAAATAAAATATGTTACATTAAAGTGTTTCATGCGCCCTGACGAAAAAAAAACCACTTCATATCAAGTATCTTTACTGCACCAGTGTGGAGAAATGCCAAAATAAAAGCCTCATATTTATGCCTCCAGAGATTGCATATTTGACCATATTTGAGGTTCTGTAAAAACATATTGCTCAGTGTTTCCTGGCTACTGATGGTATATTTGACTTTTACACATATGAGACTACAAACATACTTAATATCAAGCATTTTTACTGTACCAATGTGGAGAAATTGAAGAATAAAAGTCCCATATTTATGCCTCCAGATTCCATATTTTCTTATATTTGAGCTACTGTAAAAACATATTGCTCAATATTTCCAGGCGTGGGTGAAGCATTTTCATTATACTTCAATAATGATGCAGTAATCATGACAAAATTTCACACAAATGTTTAGTAACATCTTATAAAAAAATGATAATATGAAGGCTAAACACTAAACACAAAATCCTACACAATTCTAATTTGTTTACTTTTCACACAAAATGCAATTCCAGTCCACATTCTTCTTATTTTGCAGCTCTGCTGTGTCCATTTGTAGGCACTGTATGTGGAACCATCTGCAACAGCTGTCACACTGAATCTGTAAAAGGGAAAAATAATATGTGAGGAAGAGACAGTAGGTACAATGGAGTTTTGAAGTTAAAACTAATTATTTTTCCCTTTTACAGATTCAGTGTGACAGCTGTATCATTGAGCAATATGTTTTTACAGTACCTCAAATATGGTCAAATATGCAATCTCTGGAGGCATAAATATGAGGCTTTTATTTTGGCATTTCTCCACACTGGTGCAGTAAAGATACTTGATATAAAGTGTTTTTACAGTAGCTCAAATATATGAAAATACCACTTGGAGGTACAAATATGGGACTTTTATTGTTGAATTTCTCCACATTTGTACAGTAAAAAATGCTTGATACTAAGTATGTTTGTAGTCTCATATGTGTAAAAGTCAAATATACCATCAGTAGCCAGGAAACACTGAGCAATATGTTTTTACAGAACCTCAAATATGGTCAAATATGCAATCTCTGGAGGCATAAATATGAGACTTTTATTTTGGCATTTCTCCACACTGGTGCAGTAAAGATACTTGATATAAAGTGTTTTTTTATTCATCAGGGGCGCATGAAACACTTTAATGTAACATATTTTAATTATAGCTTACGGCTCTCAATACATTTATTTTGAAAACCGGAAGTAAATACGCTGTTTCTCCGCATTTACCATAATGCTGAGAATACTTGTACACTCTAAATTTAAGTGCGGCTGATTTGACCACGGAGATCGGACTCACGGCTGGATTGACCGCAGTCTACTAGCCTACTGTTTCTTCTCCACAGCACCGTCCTGTAAATGACAACATCCGGTCTCAGAATATGAAACAACAGGCCTTTTTTCTGTTTCTGTCTTCTAGTGATTTTATTTTTTGTTATATGAAATAGAAAATGAAAATCGAATCATTTTTTAAATTTCGCTCATCCCTTTCTGACCATGAAAAAGAAAAACGCCTTGTATTTCAATTTGAATTTTTGTATTTTAAAACGAAAATCAAATAACCACTCGTTTTCTGTTCTTTAATACCCGTTACTGAAAGGAACATCCAATGACCAAAACATACACGGACCCCAAAACATACACGGACCCCAAAACATACACGGACCCCAAAACATACACGGACCCCAAAACGAACCGCCAACGATTCACAAACAAAGTCAGTGTGGTTTGTGAATTGCCAAACTAATACATGTTGTTCTGGAAATAAGAACCGTACCTATCAAACACACACTTCATGCTTCAGACACAAATACAGTTTGTTTGACACATACAGAGAAACATATTTCTTCAATTACAAACAAATATATCCTCAAGTACCATTCTCCATAAATATCGCCTACAGTTCCCATAATGCACCTGGATAGTGTCTTTCATTAGACTGGATTTGTAACATTTGGACCTCCAACAATACTGTTGAATTATGGGAAATATATTTACTTACAATAAGTCTGATGTTTCCTGAACACATCACAGCTGTGTGTGTGTGTGTGTGTGTGTGTGTGTGTGTGTGTGTGTGTGTGTGTGTGTGTGTGTGTGTTACTGTGTGTGTACTGTGTGTGTGTTACTGTGTGTGTGTGTGTGTGTGTGTGTGTGTGTGTTACTGTGTGTGTGTGTTACTGTGTGTGTTACTGTGTGTGTGTGTTACTGTGTGTGTTACTGTGTGTGTGTGTTACTGTGTGTGTGTGCGTGTGTGTGTGTGTTACTGTGTGTGTGTGTGTGTTACTGTGTGTGTGTGTGTGTGTGTGTGTGTGTTACTGTGTGTTACTGTGTGTGTGTGTGTGTGTGTTACTGTGTGTTAGTGTGTGTGTGTGTTACTGTGTGTTACTGTGTGTGTGTTACTGTGTGTTACTGTGTGTGTGTGTGTGTGTTCAGTGTTTTTCCAGCCTCTCTCTCAGTGAACAGCTGACAGTAGAAGAAGAAGGCCAGCTGATCTAATAATAGCAGAGAGAGTGAGACCTGTATCTGTATCGGTCCTTCTGCACGCCGTCGCACCGCCACCAACCTCCAACCATGCCCAGCAGCCAGACCCGCAGCCGGGCCAGAGACCGGAACGACGTCCTGAACCGACCCGAGTTTCTGTCCCTGAACCAGCGCAGGGACCAGGGTCCGGGGGAGGGGCGGGGGGGCGGCGGTCCGAGGAGAGCCCCGCACAGACAGCAGAGTCAGCAGGAGGACGCCGGAGCGAGGTAAGACTCCGCCCACTGACACCACGGCTCACATTTAGCAGCTGGTGGTCTGATCCTGGTCCCCGGACTCTATAGAACCAGAACTTGCTGCAGAGCCACCTCGACTTGTTGCCACGGTTACGTCCTGTCGGTTTGTTTCTGTGTTTGAATCCATTAAAATGAACTTTTTTAATGTTACACTTCCTGCACAGACCTTTCACAATAAATGCAGCTCAAACAATAACAGGAGGGTTTATCTCCACTTCCTGTTACTCTCTGCTGTTTCCAAGGTTCATTATTAGAAGGTAGGTCAGCTCAGTTTATGGGAATTATTAAGGTTCAAATCCCCTCTGCTCCACACTGTCACACCAAACTCCATTCAAAAAACGGCTGTTTTAAGGAAGTAAAACCTTTATTTCCACCATCAGTGAGACTCTGATTCTCTTCAGTCTACAGACACAATCTGCTCACATTGACTCAGTAACATCATTAACTAACCTGTGAGGAAGAGTTGGACACAGACACACTCACTGACTGTCTGTCATTAACTAACCTGTGAGGAAGAGTTGGACACACACACACTCACTGACTGTCTGTCATTAACTAACCCGTGAGGAAGAGTTGGACACAGACACACTCACTGACTGTCTGTCATTAACTAACCTGTGAGGAAGAGTTGGACACAGACACACTCACTGACTGTCTGTCATTAACTAACCTGTGAGGAAGAGTTGGACACAGACACACTCACTGACTGTCTGTCATTAACTAACCTGTGAGGAAGAGTTGGACACAGACACACTCACTGACTGTCTTTTAACTAACCTGTGAGGAAGAGTGGCCAACCACTGATGTTGTCATTAACTAACCTGTGAGGAAGAGTTGGACACAGACACACTCACTGACTGTCTGTCATTAACTAACCTGTGAGGAAGAGTTGGACACACACACACTCACTGACTGTCTGTCTCTCTGTCCTCAGGGGGTCCAGGGACTCCTCTGAGGGGGGCCCAGCAGCTGATGGGGGGGTGAAGGAGGACTGTATGCAGCTCAATCCGTCCTTTCGAGGCATCGCCATCAACTCGCTGCTCGCCATCGACATCAGTCTGTCCAAGCGTCTGGGAGTGTGCGCGGGGACTCGTGGCTCCGGGGCCCCGCTGCGCTCCATGGTGACCCTGCTGGCCCTCAGCGGTCACGCCCTCCCCTGGCTCTGTGGGACTCTGATCTGTCTGTGGAGCAGCAACACGCTGGCCGGACAGGAAGTCCTGGTGAACCTGCTGCTGGGTGAGTACTGCTGCTAGTGTTAGCATGTTAGCATCTATCAGATTAGAGTCCACTTTTTACTTTAAAACCTGAGGAAGATTTAAAGAGGAGCAGCAGGAGCTCAGTGAGTCTGAGGAGGTGAAAACTGAGTAACTCATATTCTATTGACCAATACCAATAACTGATCATATAAGCCATCAGGCAGACGTCTATCTGACAGTGCTGTAGCTACATTTAAGGAGGAGATTCCTTCAGTGTTTAATTCAATGCCATGTCTGAATTTAACAGAGTCCTATAACAACTTTAGTCCCTCTGAAATTGATAATCTTGTCGATAGTGCTACAGGCTCACTACGATCAACATTAGACTCTATCGCTCCTATAAAAAGGAAATTATTAAAACATAGGAGACTAGCACCTTGGTATAACCACCAAACCCGCCAGTTAAAGCAAATAGCTAGGAAATCTGAAAGGAAATGGCGCTCTTCCAAATTATCAGAATATCGCTCAAATTGGCAAGATGATCTTAAAACCTATAGAAAGGCCCTCCGTAATGCCAGAGGAGCCTATTACTCAGCACTAATAGAAGAAAATAAGAATAACCCTAGGTTCCTCTTCAGCACTGTAGCCAGGCTGACAGAGAGTCACAGCTCTATCGAGCCACATATCCCCATAAACTTAAGTAGCAATGACTTCATGAGCTTCTTCTATAATAAAATTATTACTATTAGAGAAAAAATTAATCACCAACTGCCATCAACGGTTATCAGTGGCTCTCCAAGTTCAGGGACTTCTGTCAATGTAAACTTAGATATATATTTAGACTGTTTTTCTGCTATCGATCTTCATCAGTTAACTTCAATCATTTCTTCATTGAAGCCATCAACCTATCTGTTAGACCCGATCCCAACTAGGCTGCTTAA